TGTCTGACTGACAGAAGGGGGCTTGGCAGAGCTTGGACTAGGTGTGAAGGGTGGAGGGTTGGGAGGCGAAATGCATGGACTGACATGGGGTTTAGGAGAGAGGCAGGGCCCCAAGAACTGCTATCCAGGTTTCTGTATGGCTGGAGCCCACACTGGGAAGGTCTGATAGGTGTTCTGGATCTCCAGGTCTGGCTGTGTAGAACACACCATCTAGTCCAAAGGGCAGAGAGAGTGGACAGATCAAACAGTGGGGCAGAGCTCCAGGGGCTGTCTTTATTTCCAACAGGAAGATGTGGCCGGCTGTCACCGCGAGAGAAACTTTCTGATCAGCTCATTCTCCACCCCTTGAACCTCATGGGGTGAATCATACTGCCTTCGTCATGGTGACATATTACAGAACCATGTGCTTAACAAAAAGGAAACAGACCCTTTCAGTTAGGAAGGATGCGGGTTGATTATTCACAGCGTTGAACAGACCTCGAGACCCGGCGTCAAGGCTTGGTGCCTCTGCTCTCTCTCTGTCTCTCTCTTTGGCTTTCTCTCTCCCAGCTCTCTCGAGCTCTCTCCACTTCTATCACTTGTTTTTCTTTGGCTGTGTCTGGCTTCCCTCTGTAAACAGACTGATTCCAGATGGGGGAAAGATGGCCACCGACAGCCCTAAATTTACATGCTCTCAGCTGACAGCCATCTAGCTCAGGGAAGAATTCTGATTGGTCCTGCTTAATGCTGTACCATCTCATTACTGGGTACAGTCACTGTGTCCAAGGAAGCTGGGTACCTTGATTGGCCAAGTCAGAGTGATATGGCTGAAGGGTAGTGGGGTGGGGGAGGTAGGCCCCCTGGTACCAGAAGGACATGGAGTTGAAAGGGGCCGATCAACCCAAAACAAGAGCCACCAGATGCCATCACACATGGTTTCCAGGATGGAGAGGGCAGAGGGTCTACATCACGGAACACACAGTCTACTCAGGCAGACGGGAAGGCCAGAGAGGTCAGTAGAAGGTACCCATGGCTGGTTGCCCTCAGACCGCCGGGAGACTGCTCAGCTTCTGGAAAAACTAGAATAGAAACACTGACACCCCTATCCTGCAACTGACTGACTCACATTTCCAAGGCCACAGAAGCTGGAGGAATCAAATCTAGAACTGTGGATCTTAATAATGGTAAGGATTCAGTGCAGCAAAGCAGAAAAGGCAGACGGACCAGAGTCAGAATCCCAGCTCTTTACCGGCTGTGCGGCAATCAGCTCAACCTCTTCAAAGACTCCGTTTCCTCACCTGTAACGTGGGAACAACTGATAGCCTCCTTCCCAGGGCTGTTGTGAGGATTAAGACGTGTACGCCAGGTGTTCAAGAGGGCACGTGTATGCGTTCTCAGTCAACGAGATCTAACGTTATGGTATTAGTCTTTGACCTATGCTGCCACCGGTGAAATTGCTGGAATCCCACCTCCCTCCCTCTTTTCTGGGGGATCTTTGTTTCCCAGAAGTCACCCCAGATGCCTTCCTCGGGCAGAAGTAAGGCATCCCAGCCCGAGAAGGCAGGTGGGACCTCCCTGGACGGGGGCAGGCGCTCTGAGGACCTGCTCTGGGCCGCCCCGTCCCGCCTTCCCTGTGAGCCTGCCTCAGGGCAGCCGGTTTGGCGAGCTGCAAGCCCCCTAAGCTACTTAACATCGAGGGGGCCCTGGAATCAGCAGTCAGGCATTTCAGGACACCCAGCTGCAGGAAGCAGAGTACGGAGGGACACCCAGACAGCGGCCCCCTCCAGGATTCCTTCCCTGGGGCCATGTGCATGCTGCCCGTGGCCCCTCCTTGTCTGTTTCCTTCCCTTACCTCTGCCGTGGCCCCTCTAGAGGGCTGGTGTCCCAACCTTCCTAATCTTCCGTCCAGGCACCATGCCTGGTTGACCCAGTCTCTCACTCCACACCAGGTTTCTGGGACAGAATCTGATCGCCCGGCTTGGATGGGGGTCACTGCTCATCCAATAAGCTGGGATGGAGAACGGCTGTGTGGTGCTGAAGCCTTTATTTGTTTTAGCAAGGGGTGTGGCCGGCTGTCTCAGAGGCCCTGAGAGAGGGCTCAGTGGAGAGGCACGGTCTTTGGGGGAAAGGCCAGACAGCCCTCGTCCCAGGCTCTTACCTGCCTACTTGTGTCTGGGCCAGATCCCGAGGCTGCCTTGTGTTCTAGCTTGACTAATGATACCTGGAGAAGAAGTATTTGGTGACATGTGAACACTATGTCAAATTCAAATTTCAGCTCTCTATGAGTTTCTTAGGCCTGCCATAGGAAAGTACCACAAACTGCATGGCTTACAACAATAGAAACGTACTGTCCCACGATTCTGGAGGCTTAGAAGTCCAAAATCAAGGTGTTGGCAGTGCCAGGCTCCGTCTGAAGCCTTAGGGAGGATCCTTTCTTGCCTCTTGAGCTCCTGGTAGCCCCAGGTGTTCCTTAGCTTGTGACAGCATCACTCCATCTTTACATGGCCATCTTCTCTCTGTGTCTTCAAATGGTGTTCTCTCTGTGGGTATGTCCGTATCAAAAAAGTCCCTCTTCTTATAAGGACACCAGTCATACTGGATTAGGGCCCACCCTAATGACCTCATCTAAACTTGATGATATCTGCAAAGACCCTATCTCTAAATAAGGTCATACTCACAGGTACTGGGGAGTTAGGACTTCAACCTATCTTTTGGGGGACACAGTTCAACCCATAACAAGTGTCCATAAATAAATGTGGCTAGCGGTGACAGAGACCACATGCCAAGTGTGGAATACTTACCATCTGATCCTTTACAGAAAATATTTGCTGTCCCCTCCTTAAAGGATCAGGGGTGGGGGGGAATCCACAGGAGGAGAAGGCCAGGGCTGTGGGGCGTCCTGGGCTGAGGGGACAGGAAGGCTAACCGTGATGAAAGTCAGGACGTCTGAGGAGCTGTGAGTCTGGAGCTGTCTCAGAAAAGGCATTTGAAGGAGCTGGAGTTAAAACACAGAGCATCTCCTTTTGAAACACCTTCAGAAACGCGCCTTCGGTTCTTCTCCCCAGTGGAGAGGGTATGGGACCCCTTCAGCACAAAGCAACACAGGGCACGTCTGGACGCCTTAGGGACCCCCCTGGGGAGAAAGCCCAAGTCAGGCGACTTTCTTGGGAGCATCGGAGGAGGCCAGTGGGCACTGTTTCATGAGCTCCTTTCCTATCAGGCCCCGTCTTCCTCCAGCTGCCCCACGGGAGTTGCTCTTGAGCCTGACAGTCCAACTCTACAGACAGGGCCTCTTCAGCGGTAAATATTTGGGAAGCCCTTCAGCACGTTGTCTGCCTGCTGGAGAGGTGGAGGGTGGCGAGATCTCCCTTTTTGGTAGCAGCTGGGCTGTGAGTGGTAAGAAGCCTGCGGGAGCTGCCCTTGCCACCCCGTCCCAGGCTCATCTTCTGGCCGGGCTGGCGAACTGACTGTGCTCAGGCCCTGGATGACATTGCCTGAGTTTGGCAAAAACAACCTCACAGCAGCCCTGTTAGAGAGCGAGGGCCCGGGGAATGTGCGCCACTCGGCTGCTGACAACTGCAGCTCCAGGGATGTTGCTTGATTTGCCCAAGATCACAGAGCTAGGCCAGGCCCGGCCAGGCGGGCATCTCAGCCTCCTGCAGCCCTGGCCCAGGCCCCCGCCTCTCTCGACCTGCCTTTGCTGTCCACGCCTTCCTCTTAATTGATAACATAGCAACATTAATGAGAAACATTGAAAAGAAAATCTCTCACATCCCACCACCTTCACACAGTTCTACACATGGACACGTTCTTTAAAAAAACCATTCCGATGTGCTAAAATTGTACAGAATACACACACACACACACACACACACACACACACACAGGAGTATAATAAAATTGGGGAAATCTGCATGAGGTCAGTGGATTATATCACTGTCAATATCCTTGTTTTGCAAGATGTCACCAATGGGGGAAACTGTGAAAGTGGTAGCTTTTTGTATTCTTTCTTTTTTCTTTTTCTTTTTTTTGCAGGACGTGGGCCTCTCACTGCTGTGGCCTCTCCCATTGCGGAGCACAGGCTCTGGACGCGCAGGCTCAGCGGCCTTGGCTCACGGGCCCAGCCGCTCCGCGGCATGTGGGATCTTCCCGGACCGGGGCACGAACCCGTGTTCCCTGCATCGGCAGGCGGACTCCCAACCATTGCGCCACCAGGGAAGCCCTTGTATTATTTCTTACAACTGCACGTGAATCTACAATTATCCAAATAAAACATCAATTAAAAACAAAGTACTTCTAAGGAGCTGAGATCCACGAGTATGTAGCATTTCTTGTTACACTATTTTACACTAAGATGATATTGTAAACATTTCCTGTGTTTCTACAACCCTGGCAATAATCACCTACTAGCTGTGTCATCTTGAGGGTGTAAAATCGTTTTCTTAACCATCCTTCTTACTAGATCTTAAGTTGTTTCCAATTCTTAGGCACCGTCAATAATGCCGTAAGGAACATTGCTATGCGTATAGCACTTTTATTCTTTTGAACTATTTCATTAGCATAAGTTCCCAGGGAGTGGGAGCATCGGGTATAAGGAAGGCTGGAGCTTTGTGGCTGTATTGTGTTTTATTAATTTAATGTTATGATACCTTTATTATTGTCTTTTCCAACCTACAGATTGGCTTTCTCCCAAGTGAGTGAAAATTCTCTGCTGTGCCTTTCGGCATTCAGATTCGTAGGAAAAAAACAAGGACACCTCCACCTTTTTCTACCTACACAACTTCACCTGGGATGTGAGTGGCAGAATGCAGGGGCAGCAAAGTTCAGCGAGAAGAGCTGTCACCGGCGTCACCTCCCACGGGGCCTTGGCGGGCGTCCTAGGACCTCGCCAACCCAGCTGGCGCCCACCACCTTCTCCCCGGCGAGACAAAGCAGCAGAGGCGAGGCGGAGCCTGCGACTTTCCGGAAAACGGAGCGGCATTTGCTCCCTCTTCGGGCGCTTCTTTCTGAGCGGCAGAAAGCCATTTCTAGAACACACTGGATTAGGTTAAAAAGCGGTTGAAAAACCGCCGCGTCCTTCGGATGCCGTGTTGGGGGGGTCCTGAGTGACAAGCCCCCACTTATCCGGGGCGATCACCGCCTGGGAGGCGCAGCAGGGCAAGCCCTGGGCAGCGGCTCTTCCAGAGCTTTCTGCGGGCCCTGCGTCACCCTCCGGAGTGAGCCGCCGCCGCGGGGGGGCCGCAGGTGAGCGCTTCAAGGGCGGGGCGGGCGGCCCGGGAGACGCCAAGGCCACCGGCTAGACAGCCTGCGGGGCGCCAGGGGCCAACCTTCGCCCGCTGGGGGTGTGTTATTTTATATTATTTTATCTTTATCTTATTTTATTAATTTATTTTATTATTCAAAAATTTGTTATTTTATATTTACTTAAAAATTTTTGTAGGGCCTCCCTGGTGGCGCAGTGGTTGAGAGTCCGCTTGCCGATGCAGGGGACACGGGTTCGTGCCCCGGTCCGGGAGGGTCCTGCATGCCGCGGAGCGGCTGGACCCGTGGGCCATGGCCGTTGAGCCTGCGCGTCTGGAGCCTGTGCTCCGCAACCGGAGAGGCCACAACAGTGAGAGGCCCACATACCGCAAAAAAAAAAAAAAAAAAAAAAAATTTGTATTATATTTTATGTTATTAAAAAAATAATTTTATCATTTCACTTTCTTTTTTATATTGTACTTTATTATTATTTGTTTTGTTTTATTTTATTCTTAATATAATTTAAAGTTTTCTTAATTTAATTTGATTGAGGGGGCAGTTAAGATGGCCAGATAAAATACAGGATACCCAGTTAAATTTGAATTTCAGATAAGCAACAGATAGTTTTTCAGTGTCAGTATATCCTGTTTAGTATGCCCTGTGTAGTATATGTATGTCCCAAATATTCTGTCTTGTATTTTTATTTAAATCTGGCAACCCTATTTGCAGTAGAACGCCTTTCTTTGGAGGGAATCTGATTGAGAGCCCCAATAACTCACACAGAGAAAGTGACATATTTTGTGTGGACTTGGGGTGGGCAGGAGGCAGGAGTGTGTGTCACCCAGAGCCTCTGTGGCCGGCCTGAGGAGCCCCACTGGACAGAACTGATGTGCCCAAGCTCTCTGTAGGGGCCAGAAAGCAAGATAGCAGGAATCACAGCAGGAACCCAGTACTAGCCTCTGCGGTCACTGTTTCTGTCCCCTCAGATTTTATTTTATTTTATTATTATTTTTTAATTAATTAATTTATTTTTGGCTACGTTGGGTCTTCGTTGCTGGCGTGGGCTTTCTCTAACTGCAGCGAGCAGAGGCTAATCTTCACTGCGGTGCAGGGGCTTCTCACTGCAATGGCTTTTCTTGTTGTGGAGCATGGGCTCTAGGCGTGTGGGCTTCAGTAGTTGTGACATGCAGGCTTCAGTAGTTGTGGCTTGCGGGCTCCAGAGCACAGGCGCAGCAGTTGTGGCTCACAGGACCAGTTGCTCCACGGCATGTGGGATCCTCCCAGACCAGGGCTCAAACCCGCGTCCCCTGCATTGGCAGGTGGACCCATAACCACTGCGCCACCAGGGAAGTCCACCCCTCAGATTTTAGAAGAGGACTAAGTGGCACTGCAGAGGGAACACATTGGATTTTCCCAAACACAGCCTCTGAAAATGTCCCTCGGGCTCATCTCCTGTGAGCCTTAAGCTCTGAGGGTGGGGCCCAGGTTGGTGACTGTGGGATCTGAGCAAGAGACAGACACCTCGGTTTCTCCATCTGTGAAATGGGGCTATGGCCGGGATTACACGAGATGAGTGATGGGAAAGTGCCCGGTGAACTGCAAAGCACAGGTACTCTGCTGTTCGCTTATACTTTCTCCTGTCAGCTTTACTGTGGTGTAATTCACAGACAGTAACATTCACCAATTTTAGGCATACAGTCCACTGAGTTTTGACCTATGTTTATAGTTGTGTGATCACCACAATTGCAAATATCCCTTCCTTTTAGGTCATCAAACATTTGTTGTGCATCTATGCCCTAGGGCGTGCGAGGTACTCTGGACAGAGATGACAGTCCTTTCTGGAGGAACTCAGAGTCTGGTAGAGAAGATGGATCACACATATACCTGTGTGAGAAGCACCCTCTGAAGGGAGCACACCAGGGCATGGGGGGTCCGGCAAGGTATGAGGTTACAATTGTGACTATAACTCCCTAGAGCATTTCACAATCTGGCTGCCTCTAACTCAGCCCATCAAGCTCTCAGTCCCACCCTACAAGAAGCCTGCTGGGTCTTGAATACCCCATGCACACCTTTTTGTCCTTTTTTATCTGCCAGAAGCTCATTCCTCTTCATGCTTCAAAGCCCAGCTCAAATGTTGCCTCCTCTGAGAAGTCATCCTGATTTTCCCGGTGGTTGTAGGGCAGAGTTTCGACTCCCTGCTCAGTGGATTTGGGGCCTGCAGGTGTTGAAGGTTAGAGGGAGGCCTAGTTGGAAGGGCAGCAGGGTAGGCCAGAGGATCACTTCCTCTAAACGGCAGGTGCCGAGGGCAGGGAGTGTGGGGACCGGGGCTCAGGGATGTGGTGGGGAAGGCTGAGTACCCTTCCTCCTGGACCAAGTCCACCCAGCCAATAAAGTCATGCTTCCCGCCGGGCAGGAACCAGGGTTCGGGCTGTGGGGAGTGAGTGGCGGAGGAGGCAGGTGGTGTACCTGTCAGGAACGGCCTCTGCTTACACACCCTTCTGAATCTAGGGTAGATGGTACCCATGCAAATACTTGTTCAGCAGGTGCCGAAGCTCGTACTTGTGAGGATGTGTAATGGGGGTCGATGGGCAGAGCCGGCTCAGACCCTGCCGTCTTCCCTGAGGTTCCCCCGTGCTCTGTGCCTTTCCCTGCACTAGCTCCATGGGGCGTCTCCCACTTGGAGGCTCTGAGCTCCTAGAGCCAGTGCTGGCACACCGGCTTCCTGGGCTCCTCCAGGCTCTGTCCTCCCAGAGCTGATAGTCTAGTGGCTGTAGGGCAGAAAGGTGAGACAGGAGAGTTGCTGTGGGAGCGCAAAGGGGTTCATTTCTCACCTTCCTTCTGGTCGGCATTGCCTTTTAAGTAAATCTGGAATCCATTTATTTCTTTTCAGCTGCACCGCCGCCATCCCAGCCACCATCATGTCATATCTGGATGGCCAGATGTCTCTCCACAAGCCATGACTTGTGACTTTGGTCAGTTCACTCCATGGCAGCCTGAGTGATCTTAAAACAACAACAACAACAGCAATGAAACAATTTGGTACTATTACAAAAGCTAATACACACTTATGGTAAAAATTCAAATAATAAAGGATATATGGTGAAATGTCCAAACCAGATCCCTCTTTCCCTCATCTGCAACCTCCAGACCTACTTCCCAGAGGCAACCGGTTTCTTCCGTGTACTTCCAATTCTTTTCGAGGCATATAAATGCTTTTTTATATGTGTGTGTACATAATTGCATATGTATGTATACAGGTGTGTATGTATGCAACCTTAAAAAACAAACAATGCAGACGCCCGCACCTTGCGTTTTTCACTTGCAAGTGTGCCAGAGCTTTTTCCTATTGCCAAATCCGAGGACTGCTGCCCTATTGTTCCCAGTGATTTGCTCTTATAAAAACCGCTGCAGAGCAATCAGTTCCTATAAGTGGAATTGCTGGCTTAATGGGGACGTGCAATTAAAATGTTGATAGCTATTGTCCAGTGCCTCTCAGAATGGCCTTCTGATTTCCATTTCCAGAGTGCGATTTCTCCTCACCCTCACCAACACTTCCCCATATCTTTGTCACGCGGATAGGTAAAGATCGGCAACTCCTTTTAAATTGTATTTTTAAAATTACGAGTTAGGCTGAGCTTCCAGCATATCTGTTATCCACATGAATCTCTCTTTCTGCTGAGTTGCCTTGCCTGTTCTTTCTGCTGGGTTCTTTATCTTTGGCTTTTGAGTTCCAAGCATTCTTTGTACTTAAGGAAATAGGCACATTGTCTCTCATATTGTTGCAAATATTTCTCCCAGTTTTCCAATGGTCTTTTGACTTTATTTTTGCCATGAAAGAGTTTTATGCTTTTTAGAATCAAATTAATTAATCCTTTCCTTCTCAGTTTATGGAATTAGTACCATGATTTTCTACTCTGCTGCTGCAGAAGAAATCTATTCATGCTTTCTTCTCATGCTTTCATGGTTTGATTTTTACATTTAAATCTTTGACCCATCTGTAATTTATTTTGATGTGAAGGAGAGAGGTATAGATCCACATTTAATGGTTTTCCAAATGGCTAGCCATGTTCCCAATACTATTTACTGAGTAATCCATTCCCCCCATGTAGTTCCGGCTTTATCATATTCTAAATTTCCATGTATAGTTGGGTCTACTTCTGGGCTCTGTATTGTGTTCTATTGATCTTTCTGCCTATTCTTGTATGTGTGCCAAATTGCTTTATTTACTCCAGCTTTATCATGTATATATTTTTACCTAGTGAGGTTCTGTTTTAGAAATTTATTGGCCATTTGCACTCGTTTTTTTTCCAGATGAATTTTAATGTTATTTTATCAGTGTAGTGGGTAAGCAGCCTGAAATATGTAATTACAAAGTAATTTAATCACACTGTGGTATGTGGTGTGGAGGGAAGGTACTAGGAGTTGGGGAAGTGTAATATACTGGCCCTATAGTTCAGAAGGTTATATTATATGTATGTGGCAAATGTATAGATAAATTTAAGGAAACTTCACATTTTCACAATACTGTCTTTTTGTTCAAGACAAAATGTGTCTTTCCATTTATTCGAGTCTTCGTTTTTGCTCCTCAGTGAAGTTTACAGCTTTTCTTTAGAAACATATTACCTACATCTGGGTAAGTGACTTTCTGAATAGTTTGCTCTTTGTGTTACACTTATGAATGGACTCTTCATCCAGTGTTTTTTCTTTTTTCTTTTTTTTTTTTTTGCGGTACGCGGGCCTCTCACTGTTGTGGCCTCTCCCGTTGCAGAGCACAGGCTCCAGACGCGCAGGCTCTGTGGCCATGGCTCACGGGCCCAGCCGCTCCACGGCATGTGGGATCTTCCCAGACCAGGGCACGAACCCATGTCCTCTGCATGGGCAGGCGGACTCTCAACCACTGCGCCACCAGGGAAGCCCCTGCCTGCCTTTTTCATGCTGCATCCCCAGCCCCTAGAATAATGCCGGCAGGTGGTATTTAGATAGAAGTCGTGTGCCCTGACTTCAGGTCTGGAGCACTCAGACGTCCAGGACCGAGGACTTGCAGACAGTAAGAAACCCACACGGGTGGCATGTGGCAGCAGTTCAGCCAGCAGCACCTGACTCTTGCAAAAAAGGAGACTTATCTGCCTCATTCTAATTTCAAGAAGAAGGTGCCCATACACTGGACAAATGGCTGAAGACATTAACTCAGTGGGCTGCAGAGATTTTTATGAAGCGTGTGTGGCAACATAAGTTATGATAGAAGTGAAGATATCAGGATAAAAAATACAGACTGATTACAGGCAGGGTGTAAGCAGCACAAATACAGTGACTGATTTTTTTTACTTGTTTTGTTCACAGCCATTGCCTGGAACAGTTCCTGGGACGTGGTGGGTACTCCGTAGATACTTGATCGAATGAATGAATTAGGCATAAAATTGGCATAAGATTGGAAGTTCCAGTAGCATCAAGGGTATTAAGGTGATGTGATTACTTTTTATTCTCTTGTTTGATGTCTTCCCCGTTGTCTATAACGGAGTTAGGCAACTTGTCGAATGAAAAAAATTTTTCTTAAGTTTTTTGGGCAAAGCTTTTCCGAGATGGCACCGCACTAGGTGGCCACCAGAGGGCAGGGTTGCCCTACTGTCGGGGGCCGTAACCACCAAACCAAGTTTCTTCTAAAACCCTTAAGTCATGTGGAGGTTTAGTTACACACCTGGGGACCTTCCTGGTGACAGGATTCAATCCTATTTCTCCCTCACCCAGCTCTCAGCTCCCCAGATTGGAGGCAAAAGCTTTTGTGTGAAGAACACAACCTGTCCCATTGGGCCCTGCACCTTCTCTGAACCAGCTTTTAATTTATTGAGTGCTGAGCCCCTTCTGAGTGCCGTCTCTGGGATGAGCAGTGAAGAGGACTTGGTTCCTACACTCACAAAGCTTGTCCCAGGCCTGCTAACCTTCAGATTCACACAGGGAAACTCAGGCCTGGAAAGATGCCAAGCTTGGCAAAAAAAAAAAAAAAGTCTAGAGCTTAATTTAGCAACCTGTCTTATTTATTTGTGTGTCCATTCCAAAAGAGAGTGGTACTGGTGCGTGTGGCTGGGGCTGGTGGGAGGATTCATTCATTCTCCCCAAATATGCACCAGGTCCCTCTTCTGCACAGACACTGCTCCAGGCACTGGGGAAGCAGCAGACCCTACCCTCGTGAAGCTTACAGTTTGGTGGTGGTGATGATGGGGGTACAGACAAATAAATACAGAGTGTGAAGGTGGCGATGAGGGCTGTGAAGGAAAACAGGCAGGATAAGGGGGTTGAGAGTGATGGGCTGGTGATGCTGTTTCTATAAAGAAGTCAGGGAAATCTCCGATGAGGTTAATTTTGAGCAGAGACCTTAGTAAAGTGAAGGAGCAGAACTAGTGGCCATCTGGGAGAAAGCAGAAGGGACAGAATGTGCAAAGGCCCTGAGGCAGGAGTGTGCTCAGGTGGGAATGTGTATGTGTGTGTGTGTGGGGGTGCAGGTTCTGGAGAGGTGCAAGGTCCCACAGACCCTGTGGGCTGCTGTAGACTTTGCCTTTTGCTCTGAGCTGCTGCACTGAGAATAGTCTGCAGAGGCGCAAGGTGGCAACAGGGAGACTGGTCATCCGGGTGAACTGATGGTGGCCTTACACCTGGGACCCTCAGTAAACGCTTGCTGAATCGAACTAAGCTATTCTTGTCAGAGCTTGCTTGAAATCATGACCTCCCGACCTGCTACAGAGAATGGAAAAAGCACCACAGGAACAAAACCTCCAAAGGAAAAACTGCCCCAATTGTGGTGGGATAAAAAGGAAGATTTTCTTCCTATTCTCCGTCAGGAACCAGAATTCTGAAGGGGAAAGGCTCCTGGCCGGAAATGCCTGGCCAGACCTCGAATTTGGCAGAAGGGCGATCTGAAGCCCAGGGTGGTGAGGTGACTCATCCAAGGTCACACAGCAGCTTAGTGGCCGCCTGGGATGCTGGAATGAGGACTCTTGCCCTGCACTGTGTACCTCTTGCTGCTTTGTTCCTCTTCCCAGGCTCTCAGACAGTCCCTTCTCTGCTCCCACAGTATGAATCGCCTCTCGCCTGGGGCTCCGCTCGTGGCTCTGGCTACTCGCCAGCTCAGCCAGGTTGCACCCAGCAGCCCCAGCCTCGCTGTGTTCTCCCAGGACCCTGAGCCGGCTCTGGTCCTCTTTCCACTTGGCAGGCCCCCTGGTTCTCTCACTCCGAATCCAGAACAGAAATAAATTTGATCTGTGACTGACGCTTTCATGCAATGTTGGTGAGAGGGAGAATTTGCAGGATCTATCAAGATTACAAGTGCCATGTCCTTAAACCTAGAATTCCACCTCCAGGGTTTATCCTGTGGAAACGCTGTGACTCTGCACTCTCCTGGGGGCCTCCTCTCTGGCCTTTCCCTCTGCCACCCAAGCTCTCGACGTGGCTGTTTCTGCAGGCACTAGACCTTTGAGGCCTCTCCCCCTCTGTGTGCTCTCTGGGTGTGACTCTCCGTTCCCTTGGTTCTAAATGCCGTCTCTACGCTGACTCTCCCTTGGTTAAGACATCTCAGTGGCTCCAGTCTCATTCAGCCAACTGCCTTTTTATTTTTTTATTTTTGAGATGTAATTCATGTACCATAAAATTTGCCATTCTGAAGTGTGTATTTCAGTGGTTTTCAGTATATTCACCAGGTTGTGCAGCCATCGCCACTGTATAATTCCAGAACGTTTTCATCACCCCAAAAGGAGCCCTGCCTCCACGAGCAGTCACTCTCCGTTACCCTCTCCCGTCAGCCCTAGGCAGCCGCTAATCTATTTTCTGTCTCCATGGATTTGCCTATCCTGTACATTTCCTGTCAATGGAACCATGCAATAGATAGCCTTTGTGTCTGACATTCTTTCACGCAGCATAATGTTTTTGAGGTTCACCCATGTTGTAGCGTGTATCAGTACTTCATTCCTTTTTGCGTCCAAAAGAGGGTTTCCTCGTATACCATAGATGTAAACCATATTTTGTTTACCCATTCATCAATGGATAGATATTTGGATCGCTTTCGTTTTCCGGCTGTTATGAATAATGTTGCTGTGAACATTTGTGTACAAGTATTTGTGTGCCTATGTTTTCAGTTCCGGCCCATCTCTCTAAAGTTGTAACCCTTCTTCCCCATCCCGCCCTTCTCTCCTGCTTCCTCACCCCTCCCTACACCACCCCCATGGCACTTAGCACTCTGTATCCCACTTTGGATTTTACTGATTTGATTGATTGTGTCCCTTTCTCTCAATAGAATATAAACTGCATTTTTGGCTGTTTTGTTTATTTCTGTATTCCTAGTGCCTTGAACAAGGCCCGGCACCAAAGTAGCTCAGTAGATACGTGTTGAATGAATAAATGAAGGAAGGAAAAACAACTGTTCTGCTTCTCATCTCTTTCTGCTCCTCTAGTTCTCTAACTAACTCAGGGGTAACCACTCACCATTGTTTCCCAGGTAGTTAACTCGGTTTCTCTAAATAACATGCCACTGCTGCCTTGTTTTGATTTATCCATTTTAAACTTCTATCAGCTTCCTCTGACCCTGCTACC